AAAAGTGATTCTCACATACTTACCATGTCTAATAGATGTTCATTGTCGAACCAAGAACGTCCGCTTCCGATACCAAGGCTTGATGATGAATAAGAATTACAACTCGATTTGGACTCGTTTTAATCACGGAAATATTCCAACAATAATTTTACATCTCACACTTTGTTGGGTAATACATGTAAAGATGAATTCCTTTAAATAAAACGTGCCAAAGCTTGAGCACACAAATGAAATAATATGAAGTTTTGACATTGAGTTGAGTTTTTTTTGGTTCAAGATTCAACAAAGCTAGACTGAATAAATATGCGTGGTAAGGTATTATATGATCACTACACTTTTCAATATTCAAAAACTAATAATAATAATAAAATATTTTCCTTTTAAACCTTTTCATGTAAGACACACACCCAACTCACATACTCACCATTCCTCCTTATTTGCAGTCTAGGAAAGAGTTTTATTTAGTATGGAGGAAATCTCTGTGAAACAAGATTTACGCGGGGTGCGGAAAGAGTCAGTTAATTTTAATTGTGATTAACTCCTTTAATGACCTTGATCTGATTATTAGGTCAACTTGCTCGATTTATGATTAATTAAATGAACATCCACAATCACAAATATATGGAAAGTAAAGCAAGTTAGAGTTAGAGAGATTGCACTAGAATTTTAGCGAGGAAACCCCAGTTGATAAAATACGTCAATTGTTTGGATGGAAAAAAACCTCGTGGACTGTGCAGTCCAAAGTAAACCAATCCACTATGTTTGAAACAAAATATACCGAACTTTGACTCTGGCTCACACCCTATCGTTCTATACCACACCAACCGCTGACGATCCTCTAACTTTGCGACTCTTCGTCTAATAGCAACTTAACCTCAGGCTTACACTTGATATTTATAGAAGAGTAGCAGGTAGATTAGACAGCACTCCATGAATGCTCCAACCCTTCCAAAGTGTAGAAGAATTAAATCCTGTTGATCATCTAGAATATCTGAATCTTCAATACAGCTCCAATTCTGATGAGATAGAGAACATCATAACTAAATCACTCATGAATATATATGTGTGCTCTCAAAAATAAATTTAGAATAATCAGATTTGATTTTCTGAATTTTTCTCTCTCAAAAGGCTTTCTCTAAATATATGGTTGATTTTCCCTAAAGCCATGAATAAACTAATGTATATGACATGGTTTATATAGAGTTTTGAAAGTCCTAATCTATGATACCCCTCGATTCTAGAACCACGGGTGATCAAGTCCGAGCACAGCTCCGAGGGATACCAGACAATTAATATGTAAACAAGTAGAATACAAAAGAATTAAAAGAAAGTAAAATAATAAGTTGAAATTCTAAATGTAAAAATCCTTCAAAATAAAAGTTTAGTAAAATTTAAATCTTTCAATCCGTACAACTCGAAAATCTATCTAGTGGACCCCTAATAATCCCAAATGATAAATAAATTTACAGAATCAAAATCCAAAACTAAAATAAGAAAGAAAATCTTATGTAGTCGAAAGAGTGAGTGTCTGTATCTGCATCAATATGATCAAGCTCTAAGCCTGGTACTAACGAACACCTGAAAAATAAGAGTGGGTCAGGCCCACATGCAAGTTCCATTCTACTACAATCCATACATAAACCTGATATGCAGATATATCTTAGATAGCTCGGCAATATCTAAAATAGTCCATATAGATATAGATACACACTATAGGACACTCACTAACTTATAGTCATCACACCTGAGTAGAAGGTAACACGCAAAACGCACGTAGCGTAGTCATGCATACCTAGACCTACCAGAAAATGTAATTAGGTCCAGTTATCCATCCAAGGCAATATACGCACCCTAACCGTGATCAGGAGACTCGAACTCATATCACGGTACCATAATGATATATATAAATCTTTCCTAATACAAAAAAAAAAACATCTGTTATGTCGTTCAACTGTTTTAGTTGACAGGACATGCATCCATGTAGGATTTAACTATTTTAGTTAATCCATCCGTATGTATGAATAGGTAGGAATTAGTATTTTAATCTAATCCATCCCCAATATGCCACCGTCCCATACTGGTGCATATCATGCAAATGATCCATAAATGATCCACACTCAAATGAATATCAAGTACATCCAAAAACCAACATAATAGAAATTAGATATTGATAAGATCCTATCATATATCCAGTATATAATTATAATCATAGAACTTCCGTTTAAGTTGCTAAAGTATTGATAAACAATTTAAACCATCCATATCCATCCAATTGACAAAACAGAAAATATAACAGTTCATCAATTTACATTCGTAGCTTGATATAATGATTATCAGAATTTTACACTAAGCATATTATACTAGAATTTCCAAACGGTACTTTCATACCAGTTCATTTAAATTTACTAAACAAGACTAGTAATTTAAACCCTCAACAATCCTTAACAGCATGAAACTTATTATATATAGTTCATGATGTTTATTAAATTCTCAATTATGAATCTAAAACAAGATATATTGATGCTCAAAAGTATATATTGAGCACCTACACTCCAATCCTAAAATACATTCCTATTAGTCCGTTTAATTTATTACAACGACCACTAGAAATAACTTCCATATTCCGTGACTACATGCAAACTATTATAAAATGTCATGAAGTCCGCTAACCAGTAAATGAACCTTCCTGGCCTTCATTAAATTATATATATTATTCATATAGCATCCCATAAATAATTTAATACCAGTCCGTTTAAATTCCTAAAGCAAACTAGCAATTTAAACCTTCTTCATCCCTTTACAGCATGCCTATCATCCGTTTCTGTTTTATGATGCCCCTTAGGATTAGCACCCTAGCATAAACCAACTGTTTTAAGGTTTTAATAGGTTAGTTTTTAAACATTTAAAACCCCCTTCACTTTCCAGAAACTACATTTAAGCCCCTGTAATCAGAAAATGTCGCAAAACACCCCGTGGAGTTTTTTTTCAAGGGAGCTGGCTCTTAGGCTTCTAGAGCCGGATTTCCCTCATGGAGAGCTGGCTCTCTCATCATGGGAGCCGGCTCCCTAATGGAGGGAGCCGGCTCTCTCCCTGAGAGCCGTTTCTACTTCGTCTATGTTTCGTCCGGTTGTCTTCTACGCTTCTTGTGAAATTCAACGTCCCTAACCCAAATCTTTTTAACATTCTTAGGGTTCAATTTAAGTTCTTATAGTCCTAGAAACACCTCATATTCTAGTGTGAATTAATTGCCAAAAACTTAAATCATGACCGAATAGTTTATGCAAAAACAACAGTTTCAGTTACAAGAACGTAAAACAAATTATAGCCTAATCTAACTTGCATAAACGTCCATTTTAAAAGTTTAATTAGATTCCTGGAGTCTATATAAAATGCACAGAACACAAGTTTACATGAAGGAGATAGAATAAAACTTGCCTTTAGGTTTCGGCTTGAAACCTAAACCACCGTCTCTGAATTTCGGCAACCCCAAAACTGTTCCCCTTCTCTGACCACTGTTCTCTTCCTGTGTTACTTATTGGTTCAACCCACAAGCAACACCTTTTGTAAATTTCCTTGTCTCTCTGCTCATCTCCCAAGACCCTCTCTGTTTTGCCTTTCAAACCACTATTACGTGAATAGGATTTTCTAACCCTAACAGACGTATATTGTTATATATATATAGGCTCGTATAAACCCTAACCCTAATTCCAACCTCCTATAAGTTGGCGACCATAAATTATATAAACATAAAACCCTACGACATATACAAATTAAAAGCTACCAAAAATTACATGTCAATTAAATCAACAAAAATCAAATATTTAAATTAACCAACAATTAAATTAAAACCATTCTAAGTAAACAATTAATTTTGAAATAATTACAATTAATCAATTAAGTAAATAACAAAATAAATAAACAATTGCAATTAATCACATCACCAGATAATCACATTTAAATGCACATAAACCAACTCATCAATTAATCAATTAAAATGCGCATAATACAACTAATTAAATTCCAGTTATATCCTTTTGAGAATTAGGGGTATTACATAATCCCTTAGAAAATATGATAAATTTTGTGCATAGGACTTGGACGGAAGTTGGGATTAAAAAGGCAACATCAGAAGAAGGAAACTTAGAAACTTGATGTATTCAGGACTTCTTGAACCGGTTCAGCCATCTTGAACCGGTTTAAAATGGCCAGTAAGGAATCCCACGGATTCTTGAACCGGTTCAGCCCTCTTGAACCTGTTCAAGATGGCCAGTCTTAAAATTTTACAATTCTGATGATGTTGAACCTGTTCGATAAATCTTGAACCAGTTCAAGATGGATAGAATATAAAAACTTGTTCCGAACCTTTCAAAACCATTTCTAAATGTTTTTACTACCTCTCAAAACTTCTTAGAACATTGTTTTCATTATCTCGGAGTGTAGTATACCATGAACACTTAGCCTTCTTCAAATCTGTATCGATCTTCAATCTTCGAAATTTTACATCAAAAATTACAACATGATCGGACTTGTTTTGACATCGAAATTTGTTCTCATTGTATGCTTTCCACAAATAATCCATGTGTTATTAAACTCTTTGTGTTCAACGTATTCAATCAATATGGTTTGCTTAACTTTCCAAAAATATAATCTAGATTCTCAAGATATGCATGAAAATCTTTTCTAGACTATGTCTTTGCAATGCATCTAATCAAGACAACAGACACCAATAGATTTCCCAAAATGAGAAAACTTAGGAACATCTAATGGTTTAGTGAGAATATCGGCCAAATTTTGATCAGTATGCACTTTCTCGAAAGACATAACATTTTGTTCAACTAGTTCCCTAAGAAAGTAATGTCGAATGTCAATGTGTTTAGTCTTAAAATGCAACACTGGATTCTTTGAAATATTAATTGTACCAGTATTATCACAAAAGATATAAATAGTACATTGATTAACTCCATAATCCAGAAGCATCTGTTTTATCCAAAGCAATTGTGTCAACAAGTTCCAGTAACAATGTATTCAGCCTCACAAGACGATAATGATATGCAATCTTGCTTCTTGTTATACCAAGAAATAAGATTAGTACCACTATAGAAACAACCACCTGAAGTACTATTTCTATCATCCTTGTTACCAGCCCAATCAGCATCAGTATAGACTGCAGTCTCAGAGTTAGACTTAGAAGAATAACGCAATCCATAATTCAATGTACTATTGACATAACGAATAATGCGCTTGACTGCAAGAATGTGTTATTTTCTAGGATCAGCTTGATACCTAGCACAAACACCTACACTAAATGAAGTATCTGGCCTAGTTGCTACCAAATATAACAAGCTACTAATTATACTCCTATACAAGAAATGATCAACCTTGTTAGGATCAGAATCTCTATCCAATTTGGATGAAGTACTCATAGGAGTTTGAACATACTTTGAATCTTTCATACCAAACTTCTTAATTAGCTCCTTTGCATATTTTGATTGAGATATGAAAATCCTATCATCAAGTTGTTTCACTTGGAGACCTAGAAAGAAAGTCAGTTCACCAACCATGCTCATCTAAAAAATATTACTCATATCTTTAAAAAAAGTATGAACAAGGTTATCACATGTAGCACCAAAAACAATATCATCCACATATATTTGAGTAACAAGAAAATCTTTTCCTTCCCTGAAAATAAACAACATGTTATCCGCTCCTCTTCTTCTGAAGCCCTTGTGCAATAAATAAGAAATCAACTTCTCATACCATACTCTAAGTGCTTGCTTTAAACCATAAAGAGCTTTTTTAAGATTAAAAACAAAATCAGAATTATGTGGATCTATAAAACCTTTTGGTTGTGCTATATAAACTTCTTCCTGCAAAATACCATTTAGAAAAACACTTTTAACATCCGTTTGAAACAATTTGAATTTAAAATGACATGCAAGGGCAAAAAGAAGTCGAATAGACTCAAGTCTAGCAACAGGTGCAAAAGTCTCATCAAAATCAATTCCTTCAACTTGAGTGTATCCTTGTACAACTAATCTAGCTTTATTTCTCATCACATGACCATGTTCATCAAGTTTATTTTTAAAAATCCATTTGGTCCCTATGATATTAACATCACTAGGTCAAGGCACTAGCTCCCAAACATCATTATTTACAAATTGAAGCAATTCTTCTTGCATAACCATTAGCTAATCAGAACTTTGAAGAGCTTCATCAACATTCTTAAGTTCAAACTGAGCTATGTGACATGAGTGAACTATACCATCTATAATGCATGAGTGTCCTACATCATCACGGACTGTACTCCTAGTACCATGCTTATCCCATGGACCTATCACATTGTCAATTGGATGACTCAATATAACTCTAAAACTACTAGATGTGGGAATATCTAGAGATGGTGCAGGAAATCCTATAGGTTCATTAATGATGACCTCTAATTCCTTATCCTCATCTTCTTCAACCTTTTCACCTTCTCCACCTAAATCCTCAACTCTTTCTTCCTTATGAATTGTAGGTTCTTTTCTTTCTCCTGCAATTTCAAATTTAGTTTCTTCTTCATCAAGTTGAGAAGAAGTTATCTTATATTTGTATCATCAAATACAACATTTATAGACTCCATAACCACTTTGGTTCTAAGATTAAAAACCCTATAAGCCCGACTGGTCTATGAATAACCCAAAAACACACCTTCATAACTTCTAGAGTTAAATTTTCCTAAGTGTTTCTTATCTCTAAGGATATAACATTTACTTCCAAAGACTCTAAAGTATTTAACAGTGGGCTTCTTATCATACCGTAATTCATATGAAGTCTTGTTAGTTCCAGACCTGAGATAAACTTTATTTAGGATATGATAAGCAGTATGTACCGATTCAGCCCAAAAATGACTTGCAATTTTATTCTCATGAAGCATAGTACATACCATACCTGCAATTATCCTATTTTTTCTTTCCACTACACCATTCTGTTACAGTGTTTTAGGTGCTGAAAATTCATGTTTAATGACATTCTTATCACAATATTCAATAAATTCCTTAGGTTCGAATTCACCTCCATTGTCGCTCCTAATCCGATTAATTCGATATCCTTTCTCATTTTGAATAAGTTGGCAAATAGATTTGAAATTCACAAAAGTATCATATTTTTCTTTCAAATATGCAAAAAAAGTAAATTTAGAAAAATCATCAACCATAACAAGCAAATATCTTTTTCCTCCAATGCTATCAGGTATTATGCGACCCATCAAATCTATATGAATCAATTCTAAAAGTCGAGTAGTGACTTTATGAATAAGTCTTTTACGTGACACTCTAGTTTGTTTTCCTAATTGACATGAACTACATATTTCATTCTTAGGCAAACCTCGAATAAGATCATTGTTAGACAAATTCACTAAATCATTATAATTCACATATCCAAGTCTTTTATGCCATAAAACAGCCTCATCAGTAACTGTAGAAAAATACATTCGTGAAGGATCTGAAAACACAACATAGCAATTATCAGAAGTTCTAGTTCCTTTCAAGATGCATTCACCTTTTTCATTAGTTACAAAACACCCTTATTGAGTAAAATTGACTTGAAACTCCTCATCACAGATTTGACTAATACTCAACAGATTTGCAGCTAAACCTTTAACATATAGAACATTTTTTAACTCCCCAATTCCTGAAAATTTGATCTTACCTTTACCACTTACAGTAGAAGTCTTACCATCACCAAAAGTAATAGTACCAACTGAGCATTCCTTAAAAGTGGTAAATAATGTTCTATCCCCTGTCATATGCTTAGAGCAACCACTATTAAAATACCAACCACATGGACCAAATGCTCTAAGTGCAGTGTGCATGGCAAGACACTTAAAATTCTCTTTCTTTACCCAAACAATTTTAGATTCATTATGCAATGATTTCCTTTTTGTTCTAGGCAAAGTGTCACAAGGCTCAACAGTTCGAATCCTCTCCTTCCTTAAATTTGAACTTTCTAGATTTTTAAAATTCTTTCCTAGTTTAATTTTTCTTTTCTGACACTTATACTTGATATGTCCTTTTTCACCACAAAAATGACATGTTGAAATAAGTTCGGGAGAATTAGAAATAACACAAGGGTTGGTTTCAACTTTCATAAAAACATCTTTAGATTTCTGAAAATACAATTCCTTTGAAATTGATACCAAATCTCTATTTCTTATAACATTCTTAACCGCTTCTTTCAACTTATCAATTTTGCAAGTGTCAATATCAACCTTCTGAACAGACTGTTTTGATTTAACAAATTCACTACTCAAATTATCAATTTTAAGTTCTAGTGATTTATTAAACAAATTTACCTTCTTAAGCTCTTTTTTCCAGAAAATCAATTTTATGAAGAAGATTCAAATTTTTCTGGCCAATTTCTTCCAAATTCTTATTAGAAACAGAAACTTATAACTTATAAATATCTCTATCAAGTTCCGCAAGATTCAATTTCTCTAATAGATTTTCAAAATCCTTTTTAAACTTTGACAACTCAATTTGCATGCTTGTGACAGAATCAAAAACAAGAGGTAAAGCGTCAACAGATGAATTTTCAAACATGATGCCAAAAAAAAAATACAATCAATAATAAATTAGCAACTATGATCTACTCTGTATATCGAGTAACCCGCTCTGATACCAAATTGTGAAACAAGAGTTACGCGGTGTGTGGAAACAGTCAGTTGATTTTAATTGTGATTAACTCCTTTAATGACCTAGATCTGATTATTAGGTCAACTTGCTCGATTTATGATTGATTAAATTAAATGTCCACAATCACAAATATATGAAAAGTAAAGCAAGCTAGAGTTAGAGAGATTGCACCAGGATTTTAGTGAGGAAACCCTAATTGATAAAATATGTCAACTGTTTGCATGGGAAAAACCTCGTGAATTGTGCAGTCCAAAGTAAACCAATCCACTATGTTTGAAACAAAGTATACCAAACTTTGACTCTGGCTCACATCCTATTGTTTTACACCACACCAACCGTTAACGATCCTCTGGCTTTGCGACTCCCTGTCCAACAGCAACTTGACCTCAGGCTTACACTTGATATTTGTAAAAGAGCAGTAGGTAGATCAGAGAACACTCTACGAATGCTCCAACCCTTCCAAAGTGTGATTGCGTTTACTTCTGTTTTTCAAGATCTGAACTTAAATGTAGAAGAATTAAATCCTACTAATCATCTGAAATATCTGAATCTTCAATACAACTCCAATTCCAATGAGATAGAGAACAACACAACTAAATCACTCATAAATATATATGTGTGCTCTTAAAAATAAATTCAGAATAATCAGATTTGATTTTCTAAATTTTTCTCTCTCAAAAGGCTTTCTCTAAATATAGAATTGATTTTCCCTAAAGCCGTGAATAAACCAATGTATATGACATGGTTTATATAGAGTTTTGAAAGTCCTAATCCCTCAGAAAATATGATAAATTTCGTGCATAGGACTTGGAAGAAAGTTGGGATAAAAAAAAAAAACATCAGAAGAAGGAAACTTGGAAACCTGATGTATTCAGGACTTCTTGAACCGGTTCAGCCATCTTGAACCGGTTCAAGATGGCCAGTAAGGAATCCCACGGATTCTTGAACCGGTTCAGCCCTCTTGAACCGGTTTAAGATGGCTAGTCTTGAAATTTTATAATTCTGATGATGTTGAACCTGTTCGATGAATCCTGAACCAGTTCAAGATGGATAGAATGTAAAAACTTGTTCCGAACCTTTCAAAATCCTTCCTAAATGTTCTCACTACCTCTCAAAACTTCTTAGAACAGTGTTCTCATTATCTCGGAGTGTAGTATACCATGAATATTTAACCTTCTTCAAATCCGCATCCGATCTTCAATCTTCGAAATTTTACATCAAAAATTACAATTCGATCGGACTTGTTTTGACATCAAAATTTGCCAATTACAAAATATATATCTCACAGTCCCACTTTCCTTTTCTTCTCGCTTTTTCCTTAAAAACAAGGATAAGCTTCTCTCCCTTTCCCTTTTCCCTTTTCCCTCCTCTCTTTTCTCTTTTCTGTTTTCTTACCAAACATCGGTTATGGTAATCATAAAACCCTATAATTTAAGGACTTGAAATGGATTTGCTGCTGCAGTTAAAAGTGGGTGGCATTAGAAATATACCCACCCATCAATTTTCTTGGGACAGAAAAGTGGGGTTGTTTGTCTACATCACTTGTCAAAATGACCATTATGTGGTTTTACACTAGTATGTTCCCTATCAAAGTACAACCATTTTTAAGTGGTTTTATGTGAGTTCTATTTGTTTCTTTATCCACTGCTAAATATTGCACCAATTCACAAACAGTTTTCTTTTTTGATAAATTACTATAACATTACATCAGATTCAAATATACTTGTGCTACGTTTGATAACATAAAATTGGTATTTTAAAATTAAAATTAAAAATTTTTAATTTAAAATTTAAACTAAATTTTGTCTGATTCAAATTTTAAGACACCAATTTTATACATGCTCGAAAAATCTGCATTCTTCAAAAGTCTCACCAATTGATCCTCTGAGGGATGGAGAGGAGAGAGAAGATTGAAAAACAGGGATGGGGTTTAATATTTTCGCGAATTAATCAAAATGTCAGCTGACGTCAATTTAGTCTTATTCATTCTATTACCTAACCCTATATATTATATATAAAAGCAGCTTTAAGTCACAGTTACCTGTGAATAGACATGCATATATATAGGTATGTGGTCGAAAATGAAATCATTTTCAGAGGCCCAACCATATTGTTTAGTTGATAGAAGTGTCACTTGATGTCTATTTCATTTGAATATTGATATTTGCATTACCAGTCAGTTGTCATTTTTCCATGTGTTTGATAAGAGAGACATTAATTATCTAAGACTTTTTCATTCTATTTTGAATCATCGCATTTTATATATCAGCGACTTTTCAGCTGAAGTGTCTGTATTTTGCATCACATATAAACTGAACAAGTCCACGTTGTGAATTCAAGAGGAGGGCCCAATAAGAATATGTGTTACCATTCTGATTACAAGAGGAGGGCCAACACGAATAGGTGTTATGAATCTCTGCTTGGTGCATGCACCATTGTTTCCTTACACTCATGTAAACCACATATATGATATATATATACCTAAACATAATAGAGTGACAATCAACATTTATTGTATATATGTGCTTGTACAATTTGGTGACCGACTTAATTATTAAAGGTGTATTTGTCAAAAATAACTTTGGCTTCTGGAACTATATGGAATTAACCACCAATGATATGATATGATATGAACAACTTTTTCAAACTCCTTACAAGGCTAGTTTGTCTTTGTACAAGTTGAAAATAATACGATATGGGTATGAGTTGCATTTCAAGTGAGTGATAGGATCATGATGTAGCTTTGAAGACAACAAAAGGAGCGAATGGGCTAAAAGATTAACAAAGAAACTGATCCATATATTTACTAATTCTTTTTGGTTTACAAATGATGATGGTTGAGACATAAAGCTCAGCTTGCTAATTATACAATAAATCCAGATAAACTCACACGCCGTCGCTCCTTTTCAACAGTACAGGAAACTACAGGAGTATTCCACATCAAAAATGGTTTAGTGCTCGGCATCTGGATCGAACACATGATTCATCTCAGCTTGTAATCTTGAGAAACATAGGAGTAGTACAAGCTTGGCAGCAAAGCTCTGTGCCGATGCAGCATACCAAGCATACTTCTTTCTTGTCATGGCAGCCTTTCAAGAAACTAAGCTATTTCTGTTCACTACTCAAGCGGGAAGAACGAACTAATCACCTCTATCCAAATCTCAAGCACCTGTTGTGTTTGGATTCCGTTATACTTGGTGTGGAAGTAAGCTGCGGTTTGCTTTGCTGTGCAATAGAGAGTTTCTCCATTGCGTTTATGAACCTGCGCAAATGCTTAATGTACTCCGGAAAAGTTTCAATGTTACAGTGGCCTCCACCCTTTACCCACAATGGATCATATTTTTCTTTGGAAAGTTCCCACAATCGCTTACCATGTGACCAATCAACAATGTCATCATCTGTTCCCTGCAAATGGTTCAATAGAAAATAAAATGAGACAAATCCAAAGGAGGATGCGTGCAAATGAAGTTAAATATTGACCAATTTTCTGACAAGAAATTGCTCCAAATTACGGGCTGGCTACGAGCCTCCATTTATTTCATGACATGCATTATTGCAAAGCCTATAGAAACACAAGGGCAGTTGTAAATGTACAGAATTTTTTGTACAACATCTTGATAGATATTCTTTCCAAGGAGACCAATTGTAACCGAAGTAAAAGTAAGATTCAAGAAAATCCACCTACATGTCCGGTTCTGAAATCCCTCAAAAGCATTCATATCGTAATATTCAATCTTTTTTTTCTTATTTTTACTCATCCATGATACTTCTTAACATTTTCCCTTTGGCTACTGTATGTTTTTTACATGGCCACTGGATAGCCATGTTTGAAATTTATCTATTAACTCGTATACATGCTCCAAACATCTCAAACAATTCCTTAGAATTGGAGGTTCGAGCAAATAATCATTACCTCACTTCAAGAATTTCTGATTATCAATATGAAAAATGCTGCAACTACACTCCCCAACATGAGAGGAATTTGATTTCTAATATCATTCACGGGTAGAGATATTTTTAGGCTCGCTCTCGCCATAATGAACATGGCTTATTAATCAAAAGAATTTATTAGTTATTAATAAGAAAATTAAGTTTAAAATAGAAAAAGGATCTGCCTCTGATTTGATTTGATATATAGAGACTTCTCAAGCTAGGGTCACTTCAGCACCAACTGCAATACCATCAATAATATGAAATTTTGTTTTTTGTTATTTGTTCATGAGCGAAAATCAAGGGCCAATATAGATACACCAATATAATTCAACAAGCAGTAGAAGGTGATTACACAGACTATTTTCAATTAAGCTAACATTGGAATCTGTTTCTAAAAACCAAGTAGTTTCATAATTCAAAATTTTAACATAGATTACTTGAAAGTTCAAAATCAATAATCATGATGGATCATGGTTTCTTACAGAAAATATTTGAGGTTTCCTTGTCCCCTTTAGTAGGAATTCACAACTAAATATAAGACATGGTAACAATGGAATGAGATATGCAGGGTACAGTCAATATAATAGAACAATCATAAGGTAAGCTATAGTCATTTCTCAATCATTATGAAATATGAATCGAGCACAGGTAATTGTAAAGTGTGATTGGAGAAACAAATTTACATAGAAAACGATTTATCCCAAGAGACATCTCACTTAGAATAAACGCATGAACATGGTGGACAACTGAATGGACGTCAGAGATATGTATCTCGGAAAAGAAAGGAAGGAAGAAATAGGTAACACTTACATGTATAACTAGAACAGTACAGCTGACACTCCGTATTTTGTCTATATTCTGTAAATATTAAACAGAGCATCCTTAATACAAAAACCAAGAAATTAAAACTTGAAATATAGCAGAAGGATGAAGAAGTGAAACATACTTTGAAAATGTCAAACCAGAATGTCACCTTCACGGGATATAAAACTCGTATGCCTGAAAGGATGGCACTATGAAGAACAACACCTCTTAGCCTCTGCAAACGAGAAGCTAAGTGTAGTGTAGGCCCGCTTCCAACAGATTGGCCATACAAAATCATATCCTCTTGCTTAATTCCATAATTACTCCTCAAACAATTGTAGGCAGCCTCTATGTCACAGTAAGTGTTGAACTCAGATGGCTATCACAATTAAAGAAATAATCACAAATCAGGAACAGTATTAGCTGACGAAATATATGGATTGATAATGGGATGACAAATAATTTGTTGATAGATAATTTGCTGCCATACGGAGGTTTTACTTTTATCTGTCTTTTCTTTAAACTCACCAAAGCTTATGAGTAGAAAACTTCATGGCCAGTTTCAAACTCATTTAGAAGATAGGTGGACACTGGACACTTGTAGCCTAAACACTACATGCTCAAAGCAAAAAGAAACTTCATATGCAATTTAGTTTCAAATATTCCTTACCTTACCCGAGGACGCTCCATATCCAGCATAATCGTAGCTGCAATATAGAAAATTATACTACGTAAATGATAAAGGAAAGGTTGAAATATAGCTATACATAGTGCATCAAATCTACATAAAAAAGAGCCGGTCTACTTTTAACAAATGATGGCAGCTGCAAGTTAGATTCTGAATGAGTATCGACCAGATGAATTTACCTGCTATAAAGATCACCTAGAAGCAACAGGTCACCAATTCACAAAACCATTAACACAAAAATCATAAATAACTCTATTGCTGCCAATTCACAATACTGCTACCATCCAGTACTAAATGTCGATCACAAATCACAATACAAAATGTATACATTTCCTTATATGGACTGATCATCACATTATATTTCACAAACACAATAAAAATTAAAAGTTATAAATCCAAGGAAACTTTTAATCATTATCAAGTACACTATCTCCCGGCAAAAAACGGATAAGAGATTTTTTATTTTTATTTTTTTATGGCTTTATGAGATTATAAGCCTATACATGGATATAATAGTTACAGGAAGTGCATCAATGATAAATTATGGAAGTAAAAAGCATGAAACAACAACAACAACAAATCTGGATTTTCAACATCTCTCTCTGTATATGAAAAGTGACACAACAAAAAATCTTAGTATAAAACGAATGACACTAAGAGGCCTGACCAAAAAGTTGGGGGAAAAAATGAAGAAGTACTAAATTTCCTACAGAAAAGGAAAAATCTATAAAAAATAGATAATGAAGTGATTATTAAACAAACCACACAAAACATAAGAGGTAAACAATATAACAACATTAAACCCAAAATACCATTAATTTTTCAAATAAATGATCAAACAGTCGAATTTAATAAAATCAAAAGTTACAGTGGGGGTTGAATTAATTAAATCAAAAGACCTGACAAACAAAACATTAAACGCAAGCACCCAATTAGATACGATCAAAGACCCAAGCAAAAAAAATCAAATTCCAAATTCCGATTACACCAATAGACCTCAAGAACAGATAAATCAACAGCAGACACAAATAAGCACGGAAGAACAAAATCACACACCCGTTTCAATATCATCCAATCCAAACAAAACCCATATTAAAAAACAATAATTCATCCAAAAACATACATGCAAGCATACATATCCACCCACATAAACACATATACAAGTGAATATCATAAATAAATCATACTTAAATGAGCACCGAAAACACAAAACCACAAACAGAACCCACTAAAACCCAGATTAAACAATCACATAACGAAAAAAGGCACAGATTTATGCACATAGATATATACAAATGTATTATGATCTACAAAAATTAAGATACCTCATGATGTTGACACGAAGGTGAGCTCTGAGCTCGATGAAGAGCTCTTGCATTTGACCCAAATCAGCAGCGTTTCCATGGGAGTAGAGAATCGTGAACCTCCCAGATGGGTGTCTCCAAAACGTGGCCACAATCTTGTTGCCCACCTTTGTGTCCAGCAAATGGACATCGACGTTCTTGTCAGCGGATAAACCAGTGAAAAATAGCTTCCCATCGTCCTCTCTGTACACATTATACGTTGGTGGGTCCGGCGGGAAGAAAGCGAATTTCGCAGCAACATTCGACGTTACATTGCCCATTAACACCAACCCACCGTAGAAAATCTATCAATCTACGCGATCGATTGAGGTTTTAGGCCATGAAAGAGCTTGGGGTATGAGATTTTCTGGGGATTTTCTCGGACTGTTTCTTCTGTTTTCTGAAACAAAACAAAATTTGACGGAAAATGTGGGATTTTTTTAAAATTTTTATTTTTGAAAAAAAAAAATTGCTTATGAATTTTGTTTTGTTTGATGATGAGAATGAGATACAAATGGCGTAAGAGGAGAGTAAAGAGGGTTTGTGGCAGATAATAGATCCGATCTTAGCGGGCGAGCTCGAAACAGAGCCCTCAGAACGAGAGTTAAAAGAAGAAAGTACTGTGTGATATGACGACGAGGATGATGATGATGGTGATATACACACACCTCTTTATATTTGCTGCCGGGCACCACTTATTCAATAACAAATTGATGAAAAGTCAAGTTTGGCCTTGATTTAGTCAATATCTATGGGTTTTTTTTTTTTTTTTCCTCAATATCTATGGGTTGGTTATGTACACTTTGATGATGATGGGTTCAACTGGATTTTGGTCCTATGTTTGTTAAGTTTAAGATTCTGTTTAGTATTCCGTTAAGAATTTGGAATTCATTTATTTTTTAAGTCAAGCTTTGATAATCCACTTATTATCTTAATTCACTTATTATTATTATTATTATTATGTTGCAAAACAAATAGGAATATATTACTAGAACACAAAATAAGTATAAAAACAAAAAAGAATAAAGAGTTTTTCGAACACTTAGATAGATGGACTTTCGTAATTGAATCGAATAATTGAATTGAAGAACAAATCTGTTTATTTCATCAATTGTTCTGTCGCACGAATAAAAAAAATACGAAGAATAAATCTGTTTATTTCATCAATTGTTCTGTCGCACGAATAAGAAAAACACGATATGATAATAGAATAGCAATAACATAAGAGAAATTGAGAATCTTCCAATTTTTTTTTTATTTTTCGAAACTTCAAAATGAATTAACAATATGCCTTGTTTAAAACATGGGATAGATTGCAATTGATACAAAATAGAATAGATGAAATGGTAAAGAGATTATGCATCCAGAGAGACCTTGTAACAGAAGGGTATTATAGACTTTTAGTGTATAACTTGGTGGCATTAGTGAGGTGCTCTTTCTCCAAAACAGGGGGAAGTTTTATAAAGTGGAATTAAAACACGATGGTGAAGTAAAAGCGTGGCAAATGTAAACAACAGCTAATTACCAAAATAAAAAATTGTATGGACGGCTAAGATTCGGTCAAAGGGCTGACGTTGGTCAAAACGAAGAATTATAAAGAAGTTCCACAGATTTACGGTGTCAGAGAGTGTCAGGGTCAAACATTCCTCATTTGCTTTGTTCAGCTAATGGCTACAGAAAGTTGATGGTTTATTGACTCGGATCTGGATACTCTACTGTTCAAGTAACCTTGTATCCAGAGGCATAACTCATTATGTTGATGGAGAATGTAATCATAAAAAAATGTAACACATAAGATTTTTGATCTAGTTATATTAAATTCTTGCTTAATTTTGAGGATAAGTTTTTGAAATCTTATTTTAAAATAGTTTAATTTAAATAGTATATATATTATGAGACCAATATAGATACTTCAAAAAAAAATATATATATATTTCTCACTTCACCATTGTTGCGTTTTGACATAATAAATGTTCCATCAAGATGTATATTAAATTAACTTCTTGTTGTTATTATATTGCACTTTAAGTAATTTTAATTCCTTTTACTCTTTTTAAAGAATGGGTTTTTGACAAAAGTATCCCAACTTTGTCATATTTAGTTTAGTGCCCTCACAATTATTCCATGAATCAATTATGAGTGGAGCAATTATACATTAACTGAATTTAGAAGATGTCATACAATTCATTCGACCCACTCTTACAATCATTTGACATCCTTTAAATTTACAGGATGTATAATTTTTCATAAAAGAATGCATGTCATAATTTTTAAAAAATTAAATTCGAGACTTTTTTTTAAGAATCAATTATGAGGCTTCTTTTTATTTTTAAAATATGAGACCTTGACCAACTCGACTAGCTATACAAGTAAAGATTAAGTTATTAATACTTGTGCCCCTAAACTTTAACATAATTATTGAATTAACATATCATGATTCTTTTTATTTTTTAAATTTCTATTTTTTTCCAACACAGTAAAAATTAAACTCCACTGCTACCATTTGAGTGCCTCTTCATACGTACCCCTATAATACCATCTCTCTTAGTGACATATAAATTAATAGTACATTTCTATTTACAAAGTTAAGAGTATATTGTCTTTTTCTTACAAGAAAGATTTTTGAATTAAAAATAAAATATCTGACCTACCATGGGCATTTAACATGTTACACATTATGTTTACACTCTTAAAGGACAAACACCTTTAATTAATTTTTATCAGACAAGGCAGCTAGCCAAGGGACCACAAACCTTAATTATCCAGCTACGGGGATTATGGTCATTTTCAATAAAAAAAATGATTCTTTTATCGATTTATTACATTGAATTGTTAGATTTTTTTTTTTTAAATTAGTCTATTTATGCGACAAATAAAGAAGTGAGACCCTCTACTTATTTGTATTCTACATAAATAAATAATCAAAAAATTTTGATTAGGTAAATTATTGTAACGGTGCAAATATCACTGCCCTTTTCAATATCAAGATAAATGAACAGACAATGAGCTTGACCATGTGGTTAATGTGCATGCATTGGAAAATGAGAAGATAAGGCTTTGTTTGGTTGGTAGAAAACATAAAAGTTGATGGAAAATGTGATTAGTACAAGAGATAATACTATATGTGTCATCTTGAGGTCCCAATGTAGTGGTCCAAATGTTCCTTTCTAATCTCAAAAACAGCACAAGCCCAACATCATTTATGGACCATGTAGTTGTAGTTTTCAGCCTTCACTTTAGAGGCTTTTCAAGTACCATAAAGCAAAAGTATACAATATGCTTATAAGAAGAATATTCCATATCTGAAAAAGAAGATTTGTAGACAACCACCACTCATTATTAAAGTACTTCTATCTGCTGCAGATTCATTTGATATTACATACATACATACATATTATGTATATGTACATAAAGTGTGTGGGTGAGAAATGCAATTAGTTCTTCAACCTTCTTGGAAGACTCAAATTGAAGTACGTAGTTCTATCACTAACATTGCTTGCTGCATGAAAAACTTGATCTTCTCATTAAGCTAAGAATGTTGAAATGGACAAATTAGGTGCAAAACTTTACATTTGGTATTATTTTATAAAAAAAGAGGTTACTATCACCTCATTCACTTCAAATTTATGTTGTGGTTATGGAGTCTGAATCATAAACTCGATTTGTGTTGTCATTTTGCAAATTTTGGTCGAGAGTTAAGCCGTCCGATCAATTAGGGAGTCCAAGGGGCGCTATCCCCACAAAATTATTTTTGAAAGATTTTAAACCTTAGAATGCCTTTGAATTTAGGGTAAAATACACTAAGATCTCATGAGATTTGAATAAATTACATACGGATAAAATATTCGGTCCTTATTACCCTATCTTTTTTTCTTCCCTTTTTTTTTTTTTTTGAAAAAAAAATCTAATCAGATTATAACAAAGAAAAACCTAATCAAATGTCATTAACAAGAAGAAAAAATTTGTTTTTGTAAAATATAACAATATGAAATTGGTATGAAAATTGAATGGCATTTCAATGACATTTTTGTCATTTTATATCAAAATATAAGGTTATTGAGGCTTTTAAACACAATAAAAGGGCAACTTAGTCATTCTTCTAATTTTTGTTAACAACAAAGGATGTCATTGACCAAAGGCACCAAATTTTAAAATAATAAAGGTCCAACTTTTTATACTTTGACCAAACCTCAAGCTAGGTCAATGTAACCCTTGCATTTAAACCTTTTTTTCTTTCGTGTTAGGGTTTTATGTTGTTTTTCAGACGGAGTCAAATTTGTTAGAACTCTTTATTATAAACACTCATTGTTGATACTGGATCATTAATCATAAAATAATTTATTTATTTTTTAATTGAATAAACAAAATTGATTGTAATACACATGAATTACGTAGTACATGACCTGAAGTTAGAAAACGTGCACTCTAAATAATCTGTCTTAAATATCTTTGTGGAACAGAGACAAATATAGTACAGTCTTAATTAGGCTCTAAGTTGATATAATAATAACAGCAACTATTATGGGTTAAGGTGGGTGGGCAACCCAATAACGCATCATAACATTCACAGGTCTTTAATATCTGTCATGATTCATGAAAACAACGTTAAACACCCAACAAAGTGTGGGCTAATATCTATCATTTTTTTGTTTTCTAAATGGAGAAAGCTTTAGTTCAAAGGAATTGATCCGGTCAAAAAGTTACTCAATTCTTGGAAGTTGTTCTTGGAAGTCGATGCACCAAAAAAAGGTCGCACTTAGAAAGAAAATTAAAAATTGTGATCGGATTTAAATCATATATTGAGAAAATCAATTCAAACAAGAAACATATGTATTTTTTATTTATAATTAAATTTGTTTTAATAAAATAGAATTTTGAAGCTGGTGATTGAAATTGTTGTTTGATCATCAATTATTTGAATATTCATTGCATCTTCAATTCTTCAACGATCGAGAGGTAGAATATTATAAAGAAACCCATTAAATACTAACTGGTTTTTGTTGTAATAAATTAAATAAATTATTATTATTTTTGTTAGGTATTACATTTTGTAGACTCACACAAGTTCAATAGGAGGCTTTTCTGTCATAAACTATAAAATGAGGGTACTGGTTCAACACTGAAATAAAAAATACCAAAAAGTTGTAAATTACTAGTATTTAACAGTTTAATGTATTAGATTAAAAATATGACAAATAAAAATATATAACAATTACAATATACAACTATATACCATCATTAAAAACTTGTTCCAACAGTGTCATGATGTCCTTGTGGTTGTATCACTAGGTTTTCGTTGCATCATAATTACTGTAATGTGAGAATGAGTAGATAAAATAATCATTTTCTATGTTTAGATCCGGTAAGGACATTGGAGAAATTATTAGATGGTCCTGAATCATTAATATTTGATGGATCAGTTAAATACAAACTCTCGAATTGAGAAAATGGCTGCACAAGAGTGTATTAATAAATTATAAAATTTTTATCATCAGAGAGTTTTCATTGAATTAGTCCATCAAGTGTCAAACAGACATAAACTATCTAATAATTTCTCATAATATAGAGATTGTTGATGATATAAGTTGCAATATTGGAATACGTTTCAAATTTACTAGCAATCTAATATTGTTTTTGTGTGATGAACAAAATCATAGATGGTATGTAAGACGTAAGCGACAAGTTAAAAAAATAAGTTTTTTATAGACGGTAAAAGACAAAAAGTTCGTCGGAATTAACTTAAATAAAGTAACAAAAAAACAAAATTTTAAATATAGGACTTATGATAAAAAAGAAATTTAATAATAGCAATAATAATAAAGAATGAAAGTAGAGGATCATGGGATTGATTCTGTAACCAGGGGCGGAGAAGGGGCACAATTTAAAAAAAAAAAAAAAAAAA